ACAAGAAAAAAGTTAGTCATCATTGCAGGTAACCAAGATGCAAACAATAGACCCAAAATCATCAGGGATGCACACCAAGAAACCAAACAAATATCGTTGACATGGCCATGTGCTCAGCTATATGGCACAACAATGCCTGCTGTCAAGATCCAATAGAACCGAGGAGGCCACACCCTACAGAACGCAAAACAAAAGTAGTAGTAAGCTAGGGTTTCCTCCATTAGAGGCCAACAGGTCGCCCGCACGTAGATCGGCGTCCACAGCGAAGGGGAGCGAGCCTCTGCGAGCGCTGGGAGAGGAAGATCCCGTAGGGAGAGGTACGAAGAGAGGGGGAGGAGGGACGAAACCGAGGAGAGGATGAGGCAAGGAACACCGGAGCTGTCGAGGCCGTGGACGTTTCGAGGAAGAGCAGACCTGCGCCGACTATCTGTAGGAGCTCGTGTGGAGGGGAGCGGCTTTGGCCGCCAGTGGTGGCTGCCTACGCCGCGCCGCCGCGTGAGGCCCACCCCACCCGCGGCGCGCCATGCCGCGGGGGCTTGCCCGCGCGGGCAGGTGGGGGGAAGGGAGGGGGCTGCCGAGCTCTGCCCGCGCCGGCGTGCCGTCGCACAGCAGAGATGGAGGGAGGGAGAGAGGGAGAAAGGGGAGAGGAGACGGAGTAGACGAGGAGACACTTAGAGAAGGCAGATATTTTCGTATAGGTCAGTGAATTGGGGCTACTAACAGATCTGGACACTAGACACCCCTACGTATAGGTTGCCCATCTTGATCGAGAGACGAAGCAGCCCCACTGAGAATACGAATCAACTTAATTTTCCAGGACCAGATCCTGCCCAAGGGGCGTGCATCCGCCATGCTGTGTTGATGCAGCAGCTGATCGATCGACAGCTCTTCCATCACTGCTCATAGGAATTCTGCCATCTTCTAGGATGATAGGCACCATTTTCTTCCAAAAGAAAAATCCAAATATATAACTATAAAAGGATGATGGCTACCTGCTGAACAAGAGCGTCAGACATCATCACGCATTCACACTTAATCCCTAGCAGTGGACATACAGTAGATCGCGAAAGTTCGTTTGATCTTTTCACAGTGAAGTCTTCACAAGTGTCGGAGATTTTTTGTTTTGCAGTTTTTAAGCAAGAGTTCATGGACCTGCTTTACTCTTTATCCAGTGGTCAAAGAAAAGTATGAACGATAATACAGATTAGTTGGGAGATTGTACTCCAACTCCAAGTAGACCTATCCGTTTCAGATTCAGAAGTTTTTTCACACGACAGCACTGTTCTGATGAGGATTGTCCCCAGACCCCACCCAATTTGTTTTATTTCCTCTGATGAGATGAGACCCTTCATTTTTGTAAACGTACAGTACCTGAAGCTGCTCTGGAAACTGTAAACCGTTCATGCATGCATGGTATACTTGCCTACTTGGGGAAGCTGTTGGCAATTCTTGGTATTCACATAATCAAGCAGGCAAGCACTGTTAACGCACTGACTATATCTTTTTTTATGAAGAGAAGGGAGAATTGATATAAAACTTGGCACATTACATCCCCAAGTTATACACATGAAAAAAATCTAAAATAAAAAAGATACAATATTCTATCTAGATTTTTTGATCGTCTTCTTCACTAGTGATTTTTCTGGATGCAGAATAGAATTTTAAAGAACATAGAAGGAAAGTGCAATCTTTAGGCTGAATCCCACGATCAACCCCAAAATATTAGACATACCGTAAAATCCAACGTTCCGAAACCAATCCAACACAGATTTGAAATGATGAAAAAACATCGACAATTGTATCGTCGGGTACAACATTGGCTGCAGATTTCATCACCTCTCACTCGTAATCCGTCATGTGTGCATGATTTCCTCTCCATCGACCATCGGTGATGAGATCCATGACCTGAAGTTATTGTCCTCATGGGAGTGGTGGAGTGCCGAGAAGCACCCCTCGCATTACAGATAATGACTACAAATTAGCCTCTTGCCGATAAAATAGACACCTACATCATTGACCTCGTTGTGGCAATCACCGAAGTCATCATCTCAAAAAATCATCTAATTTCATCGGTTTATCTGGGCTAAACCTTAAGAACCAGTTTGGCAACGCTATCAACCCGCTTCAGCTCCCGCTCCCCGCTGCTTCAGCTCCCTCCGGCTTGCCACTGCTTCCGGCGTTGTTTGGTAGAGCTCCCTTAATGGCTCCCGCTCCCAACCCGCTAGAGGAAGGGGAAGGCAAGCTGTGGCAGCGCAAGGAGGAGGCAAGCTCAGCGGCCTCAGGCTCGGCAAGTCCGGCGGTCTCGATCTCGGTGACGGCGGGCTGGATCTCGGGGAAATCGACAATGGCAGGGTCGATCTCGACGAGCTCGGTGGCGGCGGGGTGGATCTGGGCGACCTGCTGACAGAGACGAGCTGCCAACGGAGTCGCGCGACGACGGGTGACGGATGCGAGAGAGACGGAGGCGGAGAGTGGCGCGATGAACGCGAGATAGACGGAGGCGGAAAGGGGCGCGACCACGCGAGAGAGACGAGGGAGCGGTGGGGAGCGGGTTTTTTCCGCTCCCCACCTGCAGTGCAAAAACGAGAGAGCTGTGGGAGCGACTTTTTGATCTGAGTTAGTGGGCAACCCACCGGTCGCAATTTGTGAAATTCAAGTCCACAACCTTTATGCTCATGTGACACCATGCAGAATTGTTGATAGTAGTAGCATAACCTTTTCTTTTAAATATTCTGAAAAATAATTATCAGAAACGGTCCACGTAAGCTATGACCCATGGGCCCCCTTATCTGCGGCCACTAAGGACTGCCAAAAAAAAGTAAGGGTCGTCTTCGAAAATCTTGGTTTTTATTGACACAATGTCTGGTCTATTGTTTCTCAAATGAATTTCACAGTGCGCATCTATAAATTTAATTATCTCTTCTATTATGTATGGCTCCGAGAATACTGGCATTCTATAAATTTAATTATCTTGTCACATAGTTTTGTGAATGGATAAAGATAAAGATTTTCAAGAACATATGAGGGAAGAGAATATGAAGCTTTTTTTTGAAGGGTCCGTAAAAGCTTTGCCGAATTATATTTGCAGGTGAAAGTAAAAAAAAGTATACACAAAATTTACAAGCCTCGGGAAACCAACAACCAAAGAACACATGAAGCTTGAGCGTTCTTTTTTTTTTTCTTTGAACATAGAAATCAACCGTGTATCCAATGAAGCATCACTCTCTTTCATATATATACTACAGGTTTTATTCGTATGAAATTGTTTGCCAAAGGCTGCCTAGCCTTTGTGCCAAACTTAAAAGGTGGAGAAGGAAAGAGCTAGCTGATTAGCTATTCCAAACTTATGACCACTGCGCCTAGCTACCAGATTCCACATGCATCACTTAAAAGAGAATTATTATGGTACACACACATGATACATGACAAGGCACACCCTAACACTTCTGTTTCTCATCACAATTATAGCGCGAAAATCTCGCACAACTATGCTATGCTTGTGAATAAGAGTTTTGCTCCCATGGTCCCTTCCATGAAACTGCACTTAAAGCATCCAAATAATTAGTTTAATTAATTTCGTCCTAATAATTATCTGGCCCAGCCCTACCCTTCCGTAAGATCGTGCCCGGCCCATGCCCACAGGCCCAGCGGACATGTTCGTGCATGTGAGCTGTTCCGGCCTCGCCGTCGGTGAGCTTTACGTACGCGCGGAGGGAGGCAGCTTCGCCTGCAGTACGAGACGTCGAGACCTCAATGTCTTTCCTGGTCGCAACCTACGCCAAGTGCCTTAGGGCGTCAAAACAGCTACAATCGGTGCGCCGGCATGGCCGTGACTCCATGGTCCTTTGCGAGACCTCTTCCAGGATCAGGTCGACTACACCCCGGAGGAGCAACGGACCAACGGCGAGTGGTGCCTTATTACATGAACGGGTTGATCCCGAGCGTCTACATATGCTTGGCACGAATGCAGCCACCTGCAAAGGCGGCTTTCAGTTTCAGTACCACCACGTCGGGGGTTCAAACTGAACATGGTCACCGGCGTCGTCGTTGGTGCGTTGGTGGGGAGTCGCAACAGTCTCATTGCCATCCATGCCGGTGATCGACCTACGGAGACCTACATCAACGTGCTGCTCGGCCGCATGCTGGCCATACTGTCATCTCTCATATGCTCCGACCATCAACTGCCATTCATGTCGCGGAGTGTGTTTCATCGAACAAAATCATCTGTACTTCGTTGCCCACACTACGGTCAACCCGAGAAGGCCGGGGACTGCGTCATTGCGGTGCCGCCGAGATGGCACAGGCATGGACTGCGTGAGTCAAAACGAAAATTTGCCGATCCGTGTCGATCGGATCAGAGGATGAGATCCAAAACAATTGGTGGGCATGGGCTGGGTTTGGTTTGGTCTGGGCCGGATTCACAAAATCAATTATCTAACATGGAGATATACATCAGTTAGATTACAAACTATACACACCCTCGATCTATTGACAGTTTCATACAACACATCTGTGCAACAGGAGTGTGTATATGCATGTTCAGATTCACAAAGTGAAAACAATATACGTAGTACCTTATTATATTTAGGCACCGTTTGGCACGGCTCCACTTCACCATGAAGCCTTTTTTTGGGGGCTTCAGCTCCATGAACAGCTCTATGGGTGGAGCTATAGCCGTTTTGATAAATCGTTTGGCAAAACAGCTTTACATATAGTTTTTCTTAAAATATGCTCTCAGAGAACGCCATGTAGAATGAGGTGAAGCCAAGAGAAGCCACTATTTTTTGCTCCTTCCCACCCCAAAGCTATGTGAGAGCACGTTTTAGCACGTTTTTAGGGGCTTCATTGGTGGAGCCGTTTTATTTTATTCCGTTTGACAGAAAACGGCTCCAAACGGCTCCTGAAGCCGCTAGAGAAGTCCTGTCAAACGGGGCCTTATATATATATATATATATATATGTATGTATGTTGTAGCAGTAGTAATATGCATGATGGTTTACTCATTTCATCCTTACTAGGAAAATGCTCAGCTCCGGCGCGCCGCCTCCTCCACCACCCCCATTATTCTCGCCGCCGTTTCCACCCTCCTCGGGGTTGATCATGTAGAAGGCCTCCGAGTCCTTGGAGCCGACGACGCGCTCGACGCGGGCGCGCACGTAGGTGAGCTCCCCGTCGGGCCCCGCCCCCGCGGGCACGCCGCCGCCCTCCTTCTCGGGGGGGCCTGCCGCCGGCGGCGGGAGCACGCCGGCGCCCATGGACACGCCGCGCAGCAGGCGCAGCACGTGGCGCTCGTCGTCGGAGGCCTCCTTCCTGCGGATGGCGTACCCGGCGTTGCGACCGTTGCAGTAGACGGCCCAGACGTACTCCTCCACGAGCCGGCGGCGCGCGCTGCGGGTGTCGCTCTCGAGCGCCAGCTTGACGGTCCCCGACGAGATCTCCCGGTGCAGCGCGCTCGACAGCATGGGCAGCTCGATGAGGAACAGCGGCGGCGCGCGCGTGTCCTCGTGGATGGCCAGGCTCACGCGGCCCCGGCGGTGGCCGAACAGCGTCACCGTCGTGGCGTGGTCGGCCAGCAGCGCCCGGTTGTTGTGCTTGCCGAGCAGCGCCACCATCTTGCAGCCGGACGAGAGCATGGGCATGAGCTTGAACATCTTGAAGATGCCGCCTCCGCCGCCGCTGTCGGAGATCTTGGTCGTCCGGCGCCCATTGGTGGACGGCCGGAGCAGCGCCCGGAAAGTGGAGCCGTCGATGAAAGACGGCATTGGAGAGGGAGATTACTGATCGAGTTGGTACTGGCCGGTGCTGCGCAGCACAGTCTTGTTACTTTTCTGTGAAGCAAAGGGGCCTCTGGTGGGGATATATAGAGACATACTACGTCACGGGAACGACGAGCCGGGGAAAGAAGTTGGATGTATGGTCGTTGTTCGGCTGTTCATTGACTGTTTGGGACTTGCTTGGTACACCGATACCCACAATCATTTGCCTGCTTCTGTGCTTTGCTTTGGATTGTTGTACGATGGATCATGTGAGTGTCACCTGACAATAGACTTCCACGGTTTCGTCCGTGCTGTCTATAACTGCCTTCGCTAAAAAGTACGGTATTCCCTCCATTCCAAAACGTACTAAGTCATATTCTTTCTTTAACTAAGCTTCTACACAAAAAATGTATTACTACAATACCAATGAATTGCATTGTCAAGAAATATTTCATTGTGAATCTAACAAAACTAATTTGATGCTACAGATATTGGTGTATTTTTTCTGTAAATTTGATCCAAAGTTAAAAGAGTTTGACTTGGAACCAAATGGAAATGACCTATATATATATATAGGTTGGAATATGGAGATAAATGACAGTGCTGATGGTGTAGGCCAAATAAAAAAGAAATTGTTCGGAAAGTACAGTTATCCTCGTCCCATGATATATGATGATGTCAAACCCAAGCCGCTTCAATTTGACGAATCTCACTCTATCTTATCACTGAAGCCAAGGTTGATGGTGGCCAAACTGAAATCTCAAAATGGGGAAAAAATGAACTGGCTCACCCCTTGCCCCCAGCCACAACCACACTGAAAATTTTGAATTAACTCATGTAAAGCATGGAAACACGCCATGTTAAAGAAACTGTGAGTGGTACTGTGGTAGGAGTATCTATATAGTGCTTGGCTACATGTTGGACTACTACACACTTCCATGGAGATCTGTTATCAACAAGGACACAAGTTGATGCCAGGGCGATAGCCGATAGGATCGATGGTGATACGCGCGAAGAGAAGCGAAGGGCCACTTGGGGTGCTGCTGGCAGGATAGATGAACATGGTTGCTTTTCTCGTTCGGCAAGTGTCCTTCCATTCATACTACATTGCCTCTGAATGTTGCCGTCATGGGCTCTGTTCGGTTCACCTCATCTCAAGCAGCCTATAGTAGTTACTGTGTTTTATAGATTATTATTAGTCGATAGAGTACTTTAAAAGATGTTCATATTTTCACTTAAACTATATATGAAGTACTCCATTTGCAACTTAAATATATCCATACATTTGAAATCAAGTCTGATCTGTATATTTTGTAAAACTAAAGAAAATAGCTTATTGTGTCTCCTAATAATTAAATCACGCACGGAATGTACACAGAAACTAAATCATGAATGCATAATCCCCTTCACGTACTACAATAATTTGATGATGATTTGTTGCTTTGTTAGCGAGGCATCACGTTGCGTAGTGATTTAGCATGCTCGGGCCTCGGGGTGATGCAGATATCACGCACAGGCCGCGGATATACATGGCTTCGCCGATCCGTGGCGGCGCGCTGTCCGCCGCGGGACAAGTCTTTTCTCCCGTACAGTGAGCAGGCAAATTTATTGGGGTTGGGGGAGTGCCGGCGCGGCTGTGGGTTTGGGTGTGCATGCCGCATGCACATGGCGTGTTCTGTTCTCCATGGATGGATACGGATCGATAGCTCTGCCTGTGCGAGGATGCGCACGTTGTTTCGGGCTGTCGGTTTGTGTAAGCTTGGTGTTCGGTCCTGCAGTTGGGCAGGATAGATAGATCCATTCATCCATGCATGCATGGTGAGAGTGAGACCGATCGAGCGGGCGAGAACAGCTGGGTGTGTCTTCTGTATCGCCAGCTTATTATACGTACTTTGCACTGTTCAACAAATACCCAGCGTCCCAGCCTGATCATATGGAATAATAATGAATAATGAAAAAAGGAGGAAACATTTATATACATATACTCGATCACTCTTGGCACCTCAGCTCATCTTTTCCTGTATAAGACCTAGCTGGGTCCCCACCAAGATACATACTATAGCTTAGCTTTAGTAATAAAGACTCATAAGCTACCTCATTGGCTATCCATCTCATTATATATTGATTCACTAGATGAGTGCCCGTGCGTTGCAATGGGTGTAACATAAATTGAATGAGATGTTTGTTAGCCAAGTCAAAATCAAAAATATATCAATTCAATTTTTCACGTGTATTGTACCATGATAATGTCTAGAAACACATTCATTATCGTAATGAATCCGAAATAAAAGCTAGGTTTGAAGCTTGTTGTCTGAAAGTTACGACAAATATCAGTTGCCTCAAAGGCTGAAAATTTATTGCTAGGCATCGAATTGAATTTATCCATGCTCAGCCTTGCCAAAACATATATACTCGGACTTACAATATCCTAGCCCGTACGAGGCATGGCAATAATTCATTTTTTGGGGAAAAAAGTATTTGTTGTCAACACGCAACGCGAAGGACGACGAACGAGATTTGGATCACGATCATGATCATTGCGTGGTGATATTCCAATAAATTCCTTTTTCTTCCCATAATTCTCTTTCTGTTTTATTCAATTTTATTTATTTGCCTTCCAGTGTCTCCATACGGTGATTATTTGCCTTCCTTTCTCTTCTCATAATTCTCTTTCCGTTTTATTCCATTTTATTTACTTGCCTTCTAGTGTCTCCATACGGTGATTATTTGCCTGCCGGTGATTCCATGAGTTTTATTCCATTTTATTTACTTGCCTTCCAGTATCTCCATGCGGTGATTATTTGTCTGCAGGATATGAATCGCATGAGATGCGATGATTATTTACCTACCGATATGGATCACATGAGTGTTTTGATCCTATCAGACAGATGTTGACAATCCGTATGTTTTAATTATAAAGATTCATTCGATCGAACCGTGCCTCGCAACCACATATCCTGCGTCTCGAAGTGAATAGCAGTGCCTCGTAGCGTGTATAAGCAGGGTCAACTTGATACGACTCAGCTTCACCGATAAAGTATATTTTTTTTTTGCTTTAGCCCAAAAACAGCTCTCCCCACGTAGCTAAAACTGTTTTAGTCAACTATTTGGTAAAAACAGGTTCCCCCACTACTAAAGAACAGACTTTAGAACCATATCCTAATTTGGCATTAGCCTCGGTATTTTTTATCTCCGGGACTAAAGGTTCCTGCCCAATGATCATCCGCGGAGCAGGGATCTTTAGTCCCGGCTGGTATTACCAACCAGGACTAAAGGTAGACTAAAGCTTTTAGTTCCCGTTTGGGTGATGCCCCGGGAATAAAGATTAATCTTTAGTCCCGGTTTGGCCCCCTAACCGAGACTAATTATCCCGGCCTATAGACCAGCTCATTTCTTCCTTCCCGAGCCCAAGCCATTCCATTCAAACTCTGTTCTTCAGCTTAAATGATGAAGGCACTCCATAGTGAAGAAAGATACAAGCATCATGTTAAATGATGAAGATACTCCATGGTTACGACAAGATCATAACCAAGGGTCATACGTCAAGAAGAAATTCACTGTTGCGCCCGCATGATACAACGATGCAAGTTTAATATATTATGTTTTAGAGACGGATATTATGTAATATGTTATGACTTCACAGTGTAATATGTTTAATATATGTTTCAAATTTCACAAGTGTGTGACATAGTTTCAGAAAGTCTGTATGAGATTCAAGAATTTGTGACTAGTGTTTGATAAAACTTTCTCAAATGGGAAAATGAGCTATGTAACAATTGTAGATCTTGTTGAGATGATCAAACTTGGTATTCAGAGTTTTTTCATCTGAGGTCATTTAGTTTCTCATTTGAGCAAGTTTGACCAAGTCAAATTTGGTCAAATGAAAAAACAACACTTTGACTCTAGTATTATGAACTCTAAATGACTTCCAATTGAAAAGTTTTTAATACCAAGTTTGTTAAACTCATCAAGATCTACAATTGTTGTTTTGGTCAACTTTCCATTTGAGAAAGTTTGGATGGTTCAAATTTATGATTTTTAAATTTCGATGCCTACAAACTAGTTTTCGGAGCCCTAGATTGTCTCAAATTGAAAAGTTTTGAATACCAAGTTTGTTCAGCTCATCAAGATCTACAATCCTTATATAGGACATTTTTTCATTTGAGAAAGTTTGAATAAAATGTAGTTCAAATTTCACAAGTGTGTAACATAGTTTTAGAAAGTCTATGAGATTCAAGAATTTGTGACTAGTGTTTGATAAAACTTTCTCAAATGGGAAAATGAGCTATGTAACAATTGTAGATCTTGCTGAGATGATCAAACTTGGTATTCAGAGATTTTTCATCTGAGGTCATTTAGTGTCTCATTTGAGCAAGTTTGACCTAAGTCAAATTTGGTCAAATGAAAAAACAACACTTTGACTCTAGTATTATGAACTCTAAATGACTTTAAATTGAAAAGTTTTGAATAACAAGTTTGTTCAAATCATCAATATCTACAATTTTTGTTTTGGTCAACTTTCCATTTGAGAAAGTTTGGATGGTTCAAATTTGTGATTTTTAAATTTTGATGCCTACAAACTAGTTTTCGGAACCCTCAATTGTCTCAAATTGAAAAGTTTTGAATACCAAGTTTGTTCAGCTCATCAAGATATACAATTATTGTTTTGGTCAACTTTCCATTTGAGAAAATTTAGACAGTTCAAATTTATGATTTTTAAATTTCGACGCCTACAAACTAGTTTTCGGAACCCTAGATTGTCTCAAATTGAAAAGTTTTGAATATTAACTCATCAAGATCTACAATCCTTATATAGGTCATTTTTCATTTGAAAAAGTTGTAGAACAAAAATACTACATTTTCTTTATTTTTATAGGTTCAACAAAAATTTCCTGTCAATTTTGATCAAAAACCGAGAAAAAATTAAAATATTGACGTTACAATAATGTGATAATAAATTTCCTATCGAATAATATTAGTTTTATTAATTTTAAGTTACAAATATA